CTCAGGTAGTGTACAAGCTTCCCAAAATTCAAAAAGACGATATTCCTCATAGGTATAATTGACACTAATACCTGTCTCCAGCCTATGTAAAGAATTCTGCTCACTTGGTGAAAACCATCAGAGGTTCTCCAATTCATAACAACTGTATAGTGAGGTTGGATGTTGTAAATCTATTTACCAAGATTACTACTGATGAAGCTCTATCAGTGGTTTCAGACAAGTTTAGAATCAGACAACTCTCTAGGAAACTGCTCAAAAGGTCCACATAGATAGCATGATGATGTTGACAGGCTGTGTGAAAACAACATACTTTCAGTTGTGTTCTGATATATATGAACAGGAAGAAGGATTAGTTATGGGATGGATCAACATTATCCCCAGTAATGGCAAACATAGACATGGGATACTTTGAAGAAATGACTATAGAAACCTCACCATTAAAACCAACCATGTGGCTTAGATATGTAAATGTCACCTTCAACCTTAAGATCAACTGACTTTCTTTGATGTATTAAGAACACACAGGGTAACAACTACCTTGCAAGCATAACATCAGCTTTCACAAGCAGGCTTGGCCTTAGGGTCTCGGAGCCCCCTCCCAAAACTTTGATACATCCCCAGTCTCTACTACATGTCGATTTCTAAGTTTCCCAACCTAGGAGCCACAAACTGTTGAAGGAAAATTGGTGGAGAAGGGCAGTGTTTTTATAAATTACCAAAAATTAGGGATTTATTCAATTTAAATAAAAATATCAGTACATATTCATTATTTACTTTTATAATGAATAAGTTTTTATTTTAAAAATATCTGAGAAAATGTTATTCTTTTTGTAATAATCACCAGTATTTTCATTAGTAAATTTTGCCTGAAAAAAGTTTAAGTCACAAATTGTTTACATTTCCATAAAGATTAATTGCCGACACATCTCTGCTGAAAAAAAAATGTTCTACAAAGATTCCAACACAACATAAACAGGATTGTCTTAAAAACTTGTTTTAAAAACAGTATTTCAGTTTTTGGGAAAAATTTTTATGTGTTGAAATCTTTAAACAGTTTTATTTTTTAAGCAATCATTTTCTCATTTTTATCTTTTTAGAAATGAAAAAAAAAAAGGGACTATAAATTTTATTTTAATTACTAACCATGGACTTCTGGTTAGTATTACTATTAGTAAAAAAAAAAAAAAAATACCCTCTAATTGATCTAAAACAATCGTTCAAAAAGAAAATTACAATTTAAAAAAAATAAATGCTACTGAAATTAGCACATCTGCTCTAACTTCTTCCCTCCCCAGTAATTGAAAGATTTGGGCTAATAAGCACCGGCACTGTTGATTATTATAGTTGATGATTGACAATATAACTTAGGTAGAAAAAAGTAAAAAATACAAAAAGCAAAAAAATGCTGCTGAAACTAGCCCTTTAGGGGCTTCAACCTTGTTGGGGGTTCTTGCATTTTATTAGTTGACAACTGACAATGTAACACCAGTTTAAAAATAAATAAAAAAAACATTGGCCAATAAAACAGTGCTGAAAAAATGTCAGAGGCCACAACAGGGCCCCCATAACAGAGCCATCCCTACAGTCAGGAGGTTTGGGGGGTAAGATGTTCTGGCCCTGTTCACAAGTAAAGATATAAGAGTCAACAATATCGATAAAAATCTACTATGATACATAAAGGGTACAACTGAAAGGATTCAGAGGCTCTACAGTCCATACAACCTCAGGATGGTATTCAATAGCAGTTAAAACGTTCTGAGATATATCTATATTGAACCAAGACCTGTTGGAAGAAAAGATTATTAAAAAATTCTATTCCATTTTGCAAAGATTGTAAAAAAGAGATCAGCTGCCCTCTAAGAATAAGGGTGTGTGAATATTGAAAGATTCACCACCTGAATGAAAATGCACAGACAATTCTACTACCTGAGTACAAACATAAGCTTTAAGGCTCCAAAATTATATCATTGGATTTGTCAAATAGACACATAGCTTATTGTCAAAACTCAAAAAACATATCTGGCTCAAAAAAACTTAGCTCCTTCAAGGAGATCTTTACAAATTATTACAGCAGTCACAAACAGATCTCTGTTGTGATCGGAACTGTCACACTGGTATAGCTGAAAAAAGTGATACCTGTGGGTTATGGCGGCTGAACAGAGAAGATGAAGATTCTTCTTTATGTTGACATTTGATTCTCTTTTTTTGCACAAAAAAGCATTCATCTGAAATTGTTCCAGTACAGAAGGTGTACTGTATAGATTATAAACACAATATAAAACTCTCTAAAAAGACTAGGATATACATTAAGTTTGAGAAAAAACATCCACTGAATGAATGTCCAAAAAGTAAGTAGATAAAAAAGCAGTAAGCTTATTTTGGTTTCAAGTTGTGAGTTCAATCTCAGAGTTTAATAATTTTAAGGATCTTTCATTGGCTCTTCGAAAAACAACTAGTAATGATGAAGGGGAAATGACTCTTGTAGATCAGATAATTTCGTTTAAAAGTACCCTTCTGAATTTAAATGTGTCTGAAAATTGGGGGGTAGGGAAGAGAGTGAGTGAACATAACTCTCTAGTACGAAAGAATCAATAATACCTAATAAGAAATTATTAGGCTCTTCGTTTCATTCTCATTCATTGTTGTCCATATTTTCTTGAAAATTACGACTGTTTTAAATGTTTGTCTTATTATTTATTTCATTCTAGCACTAGATTTATTTTAATATCATTTCCTTAAACGAGGCTTGTCCCTGGTAACGCTAAAAAAGTGGTATATCCTGGAGAAAAAAGGTCCCCAAATGGATAAAAAAATTTTTAACGTGTAAATGTTTATGTTAAAATTAAAGAGGGAAGACCAAAGTATTTTTTGAATATTTTTTCAGATTTTTTAATCCTTCCTATAAATTTTAAAAATTTTATTTAAAAATATCGTTTTTCTTGAATCAAAAAAAATTAATAAATTCGATTTATCGGCCATTTCTGCCCGAGTTTGTAAACAAAAAAAAAAATCAAAATTAGTTCAAAAATCAATTAAAATTCAGTTACACCTTTTTTTTTGTTATCTTAGGAAATTTAGAATGATTAAAAAGTATACTTATTGTAATTTGAAAGAAACATTACTTACTTTTTTAGCAGAAAATTTTTTAACAGAGATATTTCCAACCGTAGTGCTTGACTAGGTGCGTGATTGAGAGGTGTTAATTGATATATATGTCAATATTGAAAACTTTACGTCAAGGGAATTTATCGTACGGTAGCGCAAAAGTGATGTAATTCGTTCTAATTTTAAGTGAACCTGGTTAGTAAATTTAAAAAAAAAAATTCACTTTCAAACTTTTTTAACCTTACATTTAAGGAAAAATTTCTGAAGTAAAAAGAACTTGCTTCTATCAAGAGAAACAAGTCTACCTCATGTGACATTATTTCAAAGCTGTGCATCCATACTTTCGTTGGAGACGATTTTAAATACAATTTTGGAATATTAAAAAATTATTTTAAAAATATCAACGTTTGTCAGATTTTAATAAGCTTTCAAATTTATGATCTTCAAAAAGTAGAGAACAAAATATGTCATTTCCATAAAGTTGCATAAAGAAACTTAATTTTAAAATATATAACAACATTTTGTGACTTTTGTCATTGTGTATTTAAAATAGAAAAAAAGAAAAAATTATTGTAAAAATTCATTTTTCATCAAATTTTTTTTTTCAGATAAGAATTACCTTAGTATATGTTATTCAGAAAAGTCATAAAAAGCTTTTTTAATTAAATATTGTCTTAGTTTTATTGGGTTTTGTATGTTTACAATTGAGGTAAAAGTTTGGACTATTTTGCACATTTTTTTACCAAAAAAATCGTGAATTTAGAATCTTCAGAGTCTTGTGCATTTAATAAAAAAAAAATATTCAGGTTGCAAAAATAAATTTTTGAAGTTTTCATAAAATTAAGTTCGAGGGGTGTAACATATAAAAAAAAATATTTATACTATGACTTTCAAAAAGACAAACATTTCTAAAATAATTTCATTCATTTGTGAATAAGTTCTGAACGTTTCATTAAAATCCAACAAGTACTTGATTTTTGCAAGATTTTCCAAATCAATGTTTTTTTTTCAACTGAAAACAGTGAAAAAAAAACTAATGCTAATATTACCTAATTTTTGACCTAAAAAAAAAAAAAAAAGATTTTCAACCTAAATTTAAAATATGCTGCAAATGAAAAAAAAAAATTTTAAATAATTAAAAAATACCTTGGTCTTCCCTCTTTAATTTTAACAATCATTTACACGTTAATTTTTTTTTTTTTATCAATTTGGGGACCTTTTCCTCCAGGGTATACCACTTTTTTAGCGTTACCTGGGATATACATGCAATTTCAGCGTGCTTGACAACCGGTCAGAGTGATTTTTCGTGGAAAATGAATTGTAAAGTGTATGTAATTTTTTGAAAATTATTAAGAATGGAAAAATCATAAAGAGTATTAAATCAAATATAGTTTATATACGTAATAAAAATTTTAAATACATTGTTGAAATGATCACTCGCAGTTTTTAAGCATAGACTTTTTCACTTTTAGTTTCGAACAAAGATGGCGTCGTAGTTATATTGTTTTTAAGTAATATCTGTCGATAAGTGCAAATAATTCTCTTAGGTGCGCGTTTTGTGAATTTCTGTGACAATGATGGCTGGAAAACTTGCGCTTCGTTGTGCACGACATGTATGTACGTCCTCACCTATGCTTGTGTCAGGTTACCCGGCAATATGTCTTCGAAAAGAATTGATCCCCATTTCATATATTATTCAGAACCAACTAGGACGTACCACCACATCGTCGATGATGGGGATTTTTTGTCGAAGATATTTGATAAACAATACAATTTATCGTCGTGGAAGAAGCGATACAAAATTCTTCCAACCCAAGAGGGCAGTGATCCTTAACAAAGTCACACGTTACGAATACGAGAAAATTTTATGCGGCTCTGATATCGAAGATGACCTTATGAACTGGGTAAGTTGACGTGTGCGTGTATTCAGTGGAAAAAATATATTTGTTTATTTTTCTGTAGAAAGGGGCAGATTATTTTCTGAAAAAAATCTGAAAGTACGTAGCGATCAATCTTTTTTCATGTCCCACTCCTTTTTAAAGGTAAATCATTGAAAAGCAAAAAAAAAAAAAAAATAAAAAAAAATGTATTTTTGATAAACAAAATAAAGGCAAAAAACAAAACTTAAACGCATTTGCGGTAAAAAAAATGTTAGTCGATTAGAAAATCCCTTAATTAGGACAGAACGATTATATTTATTGGGAACCATTGGATGGTGTTTAAAAGCAAGAAACAGTTTCATAAGATTTTTTACTGCTTGTTGAATCCATGGTAACAGTAAAAAGGAAAGATTAGACACGAAACTGAATTCTTACATGGCAATCAATTTGCTATGTAACATTTCGGTTAATTCTTACCAAATTTTGTTTTTGCTGTTTTAAGAGTGCCTATACATCAAAGAACTAAAAATGTAAAAAAAAGAAAAATCTAGTTTTTAGGTGTCCATACAGGCTGACACAAATTAAGGGTCAAATTACGACGTATATTGTAAATGAAACCCCCACTTTAGAGCCACATTGCTCACTTCATTTTTATCGAAAGTTCCCAAACAAATTACAAATTTTCATAAAAACTACATATGAAAAATACTTTTTTATAGAAACATTAATTTATCTTAACTCACACGGTAGACACAAACTCAGTATCCAGTTACAGGATAAATGAGTTACTTTACTCGCTTCCCTTTTTTAAACTTTCATTTTCTCGAAAACGAACAAGTTTAAATAAAAACGTAATTTTCGTAAATACCAGAGCGAAGTATAGCGGAAAATACATTTTTTAGAAAAATATTCATTTTAAGTATGCTGTAATTAATTGTGTTTTTAGTTTGTTGTTGATTTTTTTGTTGTCTATATTTTTCTTTCAATGGGTAATAATCTGCGTTGGTTAACTCCCTAAATTTCCTTTTTTTTTCTTTTAAGATGCAAAGAGTAATTATAACTTAAAAACGCCTCAATAAAAAATGAATGATAAAAAAAATTTAAATGTTATTTCATTTACTTGTTTTTGGTATGACATGACAATTAAAAAAAAAAGAAGCACATTGTGGGGTACTTTGTTGCCGGTATCGCTTTTATTAAAAAAAATCTAGAATGTAAATACAAAAAACAGTGTGTGCAAAATGTAGTTTCTGTTTAGTACACTAGAAGTCCAAATAGACGGCACAGTTCGGGTTCAAGGTTTTGTGAGGAGTATGCATACTTTCTGCAGCATAAGTATTTTTTCCACTTACATTTTTTGAGTAGTTTGCTAGCAATAGAAATGACAAGAGTAATATTCTTTCTTTTTAATTATAGAAAAATAAATTAGATAACTTATTTTTCTGTAATTTAAAAAGAAAGAAAATTACTTAAGTAATTTTTTGCTTGCTTTTTTAAAGGTTAATTTGATTAACTGATATTGGGGTTTTATTTTGTTTATAAAACTTTGTGTACTTTTATTTAATTAAAAAAAATAGCAAGTGTAGAGAGGCGCACCTGTCCTATCATACATCCGCGCTTTTGAAGGATTTTGAGTTGAGTAGATAGCAGTATTCATTTAAATTTGTATACGCAAGCCTCTAGACAGGGTACTTCTCCTTCGGGAGGGTGCTGGGGTTATTACACGGCACCTGAACGACATCTATCGATTGTCGAAGTGTGGCCATTCCGTACGCTGCTGAACTTTTTGTCCAAAGATCATTGAATTTCAAAATCTAAAAGCTTTACTATTTGGAAATTTATCGACATTTTCCATGCAATAAAATTGGTAAAAAAACATATTTCTCAATTTCTGGTAATAAGTTCTTGCGTGCTTTCGGGTAGAGCATATTATTCTGGTTGCATACACACCGTAAACTCAGGTTTCACAGAATCAGACGACAGCATTTTCGTTCGAGGAAGGTTTGTACCACAAAAAGCTGACATTATTTTGAGCGTACATAGGGTTGTTCGAGTGATAAACATTTAAATACGAAAACCCACGTTAATTTACTTTGAAAGCTTTCAACCTTTTCCAGTTTTTCTGTAACATTAACAAATTTGCCACAATCAACACCAGTAAAAAACAAAACAGAAACGTCTACTACAACTTTCAATTTACTCAACTTTCACATCTTCTACAATTTCATATTCAGTTTAAAATAACGTTTTTAGAGAGACATTTTTTTCATACAAACTTTTAAGTAGAAAATGACGGTACATAGGTTTCATTTAAAATGCATGCGCACTTTTGTTGATAATGAAAAAAAAATAATGAAGGAATTAATGTCAGTACTTCAATGAATAAATTATTGAATTAATAAATGTTACGTTTATTATCATTTTAGAAAACTTTGTAAAATACGTATTTTGGAGGATTCGGTTTCACCCCTATCATTTTGATATATCGTGAAGGTGAACTACATGGTTGTGTTCGCAAAATTTTGTTTGTAGTTTTTAAGTTTTAAATCCCTGTATTTATTGTTACAAATGTTATTTCAGAAAAAAAATAAATAATAATAATTAAGCGTGAACATACTGAAAATTCGTCTTAAAATAAAACTCCAAAAATGTTTTTTTGTTGAAAGTTGGTATTTGCTTTTGCATAATTTAATTATTTTCTTTCACTTTCGACAGAAAATAAATCTAATGATTTAAAAAAAATTACTTGTAAATTTTTCAGAAGGATTTTGAAATTCTTCTAGTTTCTGTTTAGTTTTTGACAAGAGATTTTATTAAAAAATTAAAAATGTAATGACAATGTCATTTTGTTTCAGTGAATATTTTTTTTTTCATTTTTCCAGCTTAGATGATTTTTTTTCTTGTACAGGAGTTCAAAAAGAACAATTCTGTAATGGCAGTCAATTAAGTTTATAGATGTCTCTTTTTTTGTTTTTAAGAACTTCAAGTTTAATATATTTTAATATGATCAGGATAACTAAAAAGACCTCAGTGGATGCAATTAAAGCCTATAGCATAAAAAATATCTTTACAAACTGTTGGTCATACATGGCTAAAGTTAATTTGATTTTAAACATAAACACTTATTTTAAACAATACCACTTTCTAATTTTAGTAATCTTTGTCCTTCAATTCAGTTTTACATTCCATTTTTTTTTTTTTAACTGTTTTTGACCTATGACTTTGATATGACTACATAGAAGCTGCTGTGCATAAATAAGCGTTATTTTTTCCAGGTTTTTAAGCAAAAAGTATGTATAATTTTTAGGAAATACAGTTAATTAATGTTTAAATTTACTAATTTATTTGAAACAAATCTTAAGTGAAAATATTAGTCTTGATGGTAAAAACTGACAGGTTCAGTTAAAAACTTCAAAAAACAAATGTTCCATGTACTGATAGTTTTATTCAGTATTGATAAAAACAAAAGTGTTATGGAAATTGGGAACACTTTTTTTTTTCTTTTTTTTTAGCAAAGAGTACTCATACACAATATTATTTAATATGATAATTATGAGGAGACACTGAAAAGTTCTTGGCCTTTTCTGAGCCACTTCTCAATATCTGATCAAACATAAGAAATGCATATTTTTTCTTTACAATATATTTCTTAAAATTTGTCTTGAAGTAGTAGACAAAAACTTTGAAGAAGTTGTTAGAATATTTCCAATTAACTTTCTATTTTGTCTAGTACAATGAAATCTACAACAGCGGGGATATACTGGAAGACCTCAGCAAATCTATCTTCATAGCTATGCCTAAGAAAACAGTCGCAAATGAATGTGAACTCTACCGAACAATCAGCCTAATGAGCCACATGACAAAACTCCTCATCCGTATTCTTATGAACAGAGTGTGCAGCAGAAACAGCACAGAGACAGGACAAGAACAGTATGGGTTCATTAAAGACACCAGAACAAGGAATGCGCTATTCATGCTCAGGATGTTATCAGAGAAGAGCGATACAGAAGGACATGTACCTATGTTTCATAGACTACACAAAGGCCTTTGACAAAGTGTGCCACAAGAATCTGATGGAACTGCTCAGCAACCGTGATATATTCAGGAGGGATATCAGAATAATCAAGAAGCTATACTGGCAGCAAACAGTATGTATGCGCATAGGGAACAAGTTCAGTGAATATACAAAAATTGAAAAGGGCATAAGGCAAGGATGTGTCTTCTCACCTGACATGTTCAACTTATACAGCGAGGCAATTCTGAGAGAATTGGAAACCCTACTGGGATTTAGCATTGGTGGCTGCAATCTTAACAACATAAGATATGCTGATGACGCAGTACTGATAGAAGACATGGAAAAGAAATTACAAAATCTCCTACAGAAGGTAGCGACGGAGAGCAAGAAGACGGGACTAAGCATAAACTACAAGAAGACAGAATGCATGAACATCAGTAAGAGGATAAGCCGAAATGTGATCTGAAGGTCGGGAACATTAGAATCAAGTAGATGCAGAAGTTTAAATACCTGGGAAGCGTCTTGACAGAGGACGGTAAGTGCGACACTAAGACTTGTAGGTGTATTAGGATGGCCAAGGACACATTCAAAAAGCTTGGGAGACAGGAGGATATCTGTGGTAACAAAGAAAAGAATACTGAACTGTTATGTGACATCTGTCCTTCTTTACGGCAGTGAATGTTGGACAATTTCCTCAAAGATGAAGTAGACTTGAGGCAACAGAGATGTGGTTCTATAAAAGGATGCTAAGGATATCATGGACTGAGTGTGTGAGCAATGATGAGATCTTAGAGAGGTTGCAAACGAGGTGGCTTATACTTAATATCAGGAAGATGCAGCTGAAGTTTCTGGGACACATGATGAGGAAGGAGGGCCTGGAGAATCTGATACTCACGGGTCGAATAGAGGAAAAGAGAGACAAGGGAAGGCAACTCGTGACATACCTGGCAGACTTAAGCAGGTGGATGACAGAACGTGGTCTGGGGGAGGAAGCAGAGGGAAGGAACTTGTTGAGAGCTGCAAGGGATAGAGGAAGGTGGAGAGCCATGATCGCCTACATCCTGAAAGGATATGGCATGTAAAAAGAAAGAAAGACAACACACCAAAGACAAGTAATTACTTATAAATACCTGCTCATGTTCTGTGAAAAAACTTAAAAAGTGTGCAAATGATCCCAAAAAGGAAAATGACTTTCATTAGATGAGTGGTCCAAGAATCAAAATGAATCCCTTATATTTATCACTCTGACAATATCAATTTGGTCATATAATGTAATAAATAAACACAATAAAAAATGTTAGAGGAAGATTTTGGCTGTCATGTTAGTATGGTAAACAGATAATGCATTCACTGTCAGCTGGGTGAAAAACATTATTAAAAGAAAGTGTTCACTTATAAATGTTCAACTTCTGCTGGCTTGTGATTTAGAAGCCCCATGTGGCTTATGTGGTGAAATATTTTATGCCACGCTAGGGTATGGTCAAATTGGTGGTCAATGTCTTGTCATGCATCAGAACACTTAATAGAATATCATGTCACTATCTGAAAATTTATATTAACAACTGTCCAATTCTTTTTCAAATTTGTGAAGTCAACAAATAAAGTAGAACTTGAAGTATGAACTATATATTATTCAGTTTTGAGCAAAATGAATCTGTTCTCTACTTCAGGCCATGAATAAAATACAGCATGTTATATGCCTGATTGCAGAAGCAGTTGCTATTCAGGAAGGATTAGGTGAGAATTTTGAAAAAGATCCTAACCAAAACAAAAATGTGATAGGGGGTGGTGAAGAAAAAACAAGTACAATTAATTCAGCACCAAAGCCTACCTTCTTGACAACATGGTTCCTTCTTATGCACAAAGAAAGGCACAAAAGAGAAATAAACATTGCAATGGAATATGCTAATAAGAAATATACCTTACATGTTCCTCACTATCATGATGTTGCAAGCAAAGTCTCTCCATTTTCAAATACTTAAAGTTACAGACACTTTAAGCAAGACTATATCAGCTATTGAGTGTTGGAATTCTCATGCATTGTGCAGTAAAACAACAACTCTAATCTTCTGGTATTGATTGTTATCTTTTCATTTGGTTGTGTTCATTCTATACTGAGAAACTGTTTTGTGAATATATAGAGCTGCCAAACTTTTATTTCTTTTTAAAACAATAAATGCAAAAACTGTATATTACATTCCAACTATTATGTATGTGAAAAATAATAAACATTCATAATACATTATTACAACCTTATTAAATAAATTTAAATATGCATAATACAATATATATTTATACAATTCACTACACTACATTAGAACTTTTTTTTATAAAGTACTTGAAAGGTGAAAAAAGTCACATAATTTAATGGTAAATAAATAAATAGATAGATACATGCTAATTTCCTGCCATTATATATTTTAAAATAAATGCAAGGAAGAAACAAGTATAAGATTACACCTGTGTTAAGCTATTGCTCCAAATTTTCACACAATTGTATCAGGAAGTGCTTTTAAAAGAAACCCAATGGGGTTATGGGTAATCTAATAATGATTAATTTAAAATATTTGCTGTTTGCCTTTTCTGTTTTTATATTCACAAATTTATTTTTTTATTTTTACTCCCAAAATGGCATTCTATATAATTAGATGATACTCTTAAGATATAATTTGGTGAGCTGAATAAATAGGAGAATAATAATTGCTTAGGAATTTGACTATACAATCATATGGAATATTTACAAGGACTTGTGATAGCTTTGTGTTGTATATAATAAATGTGTATAAAGTATTTCTTATAAATGGTGATAAAAATGATATTTGCACAAGAATTTGATATTATCATACATTTTCTTCTAGCATTAAATTTGCATAGCATATTTTTATTCTTATAAATAAAACCTTTTTCTCTTTCAAGGCTCTCAGTATTATTTTTATATTTTTTTAGTTGAAGGAAAAAAATTCTGATTACCATGGTTTACTTCATCGGCATCACATTCACTACCAAGGTGTGAAAAATTTATCAACTACATTAACGTAAGTATTTTTTTTTTTTTTTTTTTTTTTTTTAAGTGTATTAGATTCTGAGTTCTTTAGAAATTATATATTCTTAGTTTTGAACATACTTTTGTATAATCCTTTGTTTCTTTAATCATAACATAAACAATAGTTTATATTTTTAATAAGTGAAAATGTTAATGTATAGAATACAACCAATATATTTGTTAATCTTTTCACTCTGAGCAAGGCAATAAAGCCACTAAGATGCAAGTATTAGAGAATATGAGAAAAACTACACTATTAAGGAGAGAGAACAATAAAAGAACTGGAATTAAGAAGATGAAAGTTAACAATTGATATTGCATTTAAATTTTTGAAGATGAAATTTGATTGGGAAGCAAGAAGCTGGAAGAGAGGTCCACAAGTGAGAAGTGCGATAGAAGGAACTGTAAGCATAGATCTTACGATTACATTTAGCCATTTCAACTGTAAAATGATGAGACCTTGCTGCCAATCTAGTACTGTGCTTAAATTCATAAAGTCTAAGTACCATAGAGGAAAGCTTATCAGAAAACTTACCATGAAAGTATCCATACAAAAGGCACAGAGAAGCTGTTACAATGATGTGAAAATGACTGCAGCCAAGGTGCCAGGTCAGAATCAATAGCATTGCAGATTCTTTGGATTTTATTGAGAATCTCTAAATATGTAGCAGGATCACCAAACCAGATGTGGCAGCAATATTCAAAGCATGCACAAATGGTATGTAAGATAGAACCTGGTGAGAAAAATTGTCTAACATGACATAGTGAACTAGCTTACCTAGCAGTAGTCCTAGCAACTGATTCAATATAATCTTTCAACTTCATATCAACAGAAAATGTTAGTCTGAGAATGCATTGTGAGTCACTCTCCTGGAGGTTAGCATCAGCCATGCTGAAGGAAAGCAAAAAGGGTTCTTTCAGACAATTAAGAGAGCAGTTTCATTTTGGAGGTGTTAAAATTAAGAAGCTATTCCTTGCCTCAGTTAACAATTGACTGAAGGTCATTTTCAAGCTCAGCTAAATGTAGGTCATTTTGGAGATCACCTGCTAATTTGACCTTATCTTATCAAACTGATCCAACTCATTAAGAAGACAGGAGTAAATAGTTGTGTCATCAACATAAATACCAAATTGAGAATTGATGACATCAGGCAGGTCATTGATGAAAATTAGGAACAATGTAGGTCCAAGGATAAAGCCCTGGAAGACACTGCATTAATGCAAAAAGGTCTAGAAGAGTGGTCAGTCAAGACAACTTTCATTTCACAATTTGATAAGAAAAACTGAATCAGTTCAAAAATTAATCCAAGAATACCATAACCTTTCAACTTGTGAAGATCAGTATGCCATGCCCTGTCAAATGCCTTCAAGATATCTAAAGCAACATGCAGGAAAGCAAGATGTAGCAAGGCATTTATTGTAGAGTTTAGAGAGAACAGGAGCATATTTCTTAAGGACTATTACAGGGATACTATCAAGTTGGCATGCTTTGTGGGAATTCAATTTAGAGATTATAGTAGAAATAAGAGTAGAGTTATATGCATATCATTCAATTCTAAGTGGAAAGTCAGGAAAGAATACTCCAGCTGAATTTAGAGAGAATTTATAAGCAAAACATTCTGCTTTATTAGCAGAAGATGTTAACACTTCAAATTGAATGCAGAGAGGAGGTATAGAAGGCTTACTCTTATTTAACATCCAATTACAGAATTGCTGGTAGCTACAAGAACAAAACTTGTTAGAGGCTATATGGTGCCTCATTCTATTAGCAAAGACTTAGTCTCTTTGAGGACACGTTTACAACTATTACAAGCAGTCTGTTGTGATCAGAACTATCACACTAGTATTTTACCAGTGTGATAGTTCTGTGGGCTATAGCAGCTGAATAGTCCGATGTGAACTAAGGAGAAGATTGTGGTTTCACCTGATGTTTATGAGAATGTACATTGATGTCAGCTTTAACCCAAGAAGAAACCTCTGTGGAACACTTCTCAATAGGAAGGTTAAGAATATCAATCCAAGGGTATCTCTAATAAAGTCATGAAATAAATTCCAATCTGTATGCTGGTAACAGAAGAGTCTTGTCAATAGGAACTTCCTTTCTAATAGATGACTCAAAAGAAATATCAACAGATGCTACAGTGTGTTCCAAATTGCCAAGATGACAGTTGTGATGCTCGACAAAAGCTAGGAGAGGAGGTAAGGAACAAATCAAGTAAAGAAGAATGTTGATATATGTTGAATAATTAGTTTAAGCATGTCTTTGATTCTCACTATTTGCTAAATTATTGATATTTTATTGTATTTTGCATGTGCATATATGTCATTGAAAAATTGGTGTTGATTTTGTCAAGAGATTGAATTCACAGGGTAAAGATGAGAAAAATATTAATTCTGTCAGTAAATAATAAATTCTTAAGATTGTATCAAAATGGCTCTAAGGACCAATTGCCTTCTGTCATGTTTATTTTAAGTTGCCCGCTTGCCTTTTAGAATTGTTACAAATTTCATATTCTGTCTCCCTGTATGGCTAAATTATTTTTGACCCATCTTGGTTCAATTACAACCAAAAATTTATACATTATCTATGATTGCCAGTAGTAAGTTTATAAAAGATGACAAAAATATAGTCTTGATTATTATGAATTCAAAATGATCCTTTAGTGTTGCATAACTCTTATAGATGGCCTTATTCCAGAAATTTATTTACTTTTGCTTTGGCAAATAATCCAGATTTACTGGATTAGTTTTAAAAAACAAAAAGCAATTGTTATTAATTTCAACAAATAAACATTGTATATTCTTACTTGTATATACATTTGCTGAGGTTATTCTATATTGACCCAAAACAATATCTCTATTCTTTTGCTTCAGTTAAAACAAACATTCTGAAATCCATTGTTCCATATCAAGAAATTTACTCGTCTTATTGAAAGACTGTATAATGAAGGAAGACTGAAAGTTTCCAGCTCAACCCACTTCTCAAGATCTGACAAAATGACCAAGCATCAGATTTTCTTGGTCTTTCCCTCATAGTTTGATGTTAATATGAGGAGTAATCTATGTTAATAAGTTTTTTTAAATTGATCATGGTTTGAGGTATTATTTAATATTTGAAAGATAGGGATAAAGGCATTTGAATGAAAAACTTTCATGTATTGATTTATGAAAAAAATGTGCATTTAAAATTGGGTAAACATTTAAATTAAGTACACCTCATTGACTTGGCCAGTGTGCTATAATTTATGAAATATTTTTTTTTTTTTTTTTTTTTTAATTGTAAATATTGATTTTTAGTTGATATGCCCATCCCAATTTCATATGATTAATAGAAGATATATTTTAAAAGATAAATTTTCTTAAGCAGTTTGTAAATTACATATGGTCATGGGAAGTTAAAAATAGTGCTTAAAACTGGAAACATTTCTCAACGTAATTACCATTTATAGGACTTAAAATTAATTTTTTAAAGTTTGACTTATTTCAAGATACCGACGTTCATATAGTGGGTAGCAAAAGTATTTAACACATCAGTTTCTTATAAATTTCACAATAAAAAATTGTTCAAGTTCATACTTACTTCAAATATTTTAATGAACATTGTCTAACTAGACATGAAGGAAAATTGAGAAATATTGTTTTTATGTACTTTTTATTGCCAATTTTCAAATTTGACTTTTATAAAAATTTATTTAACAAGGACTAGTAGCATATTCTCTGTTCTGTTTTACAGCCTCTTTGTCATTTTCTTTAGTTTTCAAGGAGCTTCTTGCATGAAGATTTTGGTAGTTTCACCCATTCTTCTTCACAAACTTTCTTCAGTTTTTTGATATTTTTTTGATGATAAAAAATGTACTCTCAACTTCAACTTTTTTCCATAAATTTTTATTGATTGAGATCTGGTGACTGGCTAGTCCATTCCAGAACATCAATTCCATTTTTATTGAACCAGTGTTGAGTTGTTTTAGCCATGTGCTTTGGATTGTTGTCCTGTTGGAATAAAAAAGTCTTAATCAAGCCCAAAACTTTGTTGCACTTTTTAATAGATGGGTTGTTAAGATTTGCTTGTATTTTGCTGCATTCATTCTTCCTTCAATGACTTCCATTTCTCCTACTCTGTTATATGAAAAAAACAACCCCAAATCATTACACTTCCATCCTCCCATATATTTGACTGTTGGGATGGTGTTTACTGGGTTGTATTCACTTTTTTTTTTTCCATCTTGGGTGCACATGTTTTTATGAAAAAAAGCTCAATTTTTTGTTTCATCTGACCAAATAACTTTCTTCCAGAATTCATCTGATTCAAGTTCATAATTTTTAACAAATTTCAAATGGTCTTGCACATGTTTACATTTTAATAGTGGAGTCTTTCTTGGTGATCTAGAATACAGGCCTGTACGATTCAGTGATCTCTTAATTGTATCTTTACTTACTTCAATTCCTGGCATTTTTCAGATCGTTCTGAATTTCTCTTTGAGTCAAAAATGGTTGTTTCTTCACATCACATGTCTAGGACTATATATCATTCAGTAGCCTTGTTTAATTTACACAGACGATCACTCCTTTTGAATATTTTCAGTAGTATCATATTTTTCCACTTTTGAAAAATAACAGCATTTAAAGTGTACACACAAAGCAAATTTAAATCTTGAGCAATAATTTTTTCGATAATCTTTACCATCTTTGTGCAGCTTTATAATCTTCTGTTCCATATCATTTGACAATTCTTTTGTCTTAACCATTTTTATAAGTCTTGATAGTGGGTCAGTCTGTACCATATCAGACATGTTAGCACTATGTACCGATTGAGTGATGTGCTTGATAATACATATATTGGACACAAACTGTGATAGATTGCAGTACAAATCATATCAAAATAACTGGAAATAGTTTTAATATACCCATTTTACTGTATTATTTGTATAGGTGTTAAATACTTTTGCACATAGTTAAATTCAAAAAATTGGCAATAAAAGTACATAAAAACAA